TCCTCTTGTGTAAACAAACGTTTTAATACGACCACCATTACTCATCGTCTGGAAAACGATTCTAACAAAGTTTTGGCAGTAACGATGTTGAGCTCCCGATGTCCACTGTATCATTGTTGATATATTTTAGTATGAACTGGGGTTTGAAGTGGTTATGATATTTGCTGCCGTACGCCTGATACCTCACTATGGGGGAAATTCATTAAAATTAATTTATTAGCATTTATTTATATCATTAATACTTCATGTATTTGTTATTTCATAACCTGAATACTATGTCCATTTTCCACATTTGGATACTCAGGTTCATAAACTTGACTATTACTGTATATCATTACCGTAACTACTACCGTAAATCCAGAGGTAGTGGATTTATGAATAAAACTGAAAACAAAGTTAAGGTTACCTTACGGAATAAACTACATAAATGTTAATATTGATGCTTCATATATGATACAACGCATGTAATAAACTGGGCCTTTAATAAACTTAATAAAACTTGTCACGGATTCGTCAGCGTGATGTAATTTTTCACAAAACAACTACCAGTGAACCTCATTAATTTTGAGGAACGCACTCACGCAGCTGGAAACGTATTTAAATGACAACTAGCAGACCAAAGAACATCCGTTTTTACGTTCTGTACAACTCTGGTGCTGAAACAGATTCCTGAGATGATGCATATGTGCTGATCATGGCGTTGTATTATTTCGTTTCGCTTCTCGTGGCTTTGAAAAAAATTTATGATGCGGTGGACAGAAATTTCGTGAACTATCAGCGGATAACGCGTTTTAGACGTGACATAAGTCAAAGTCCAAGAGACGTACCAGAGTATTTAAAATTCATTTCCGAAAGGTTTTCAAGTACGTTTTACCCGCTGTTTCGCCAATTCCTAGTCAATCTTTCAGATTACTCCAATTTCAAATTATCCATATCACTGTAATCTTTTCAAAGTTGGAATGTTTCAACGTTTTCAGCGTATGTTTATATATCGGTCTAATCAATAATGATCACTTAATTAAGTCACTTCACGAAGTACTGCAGCAACATGTAGACACAGTGCGGGTTCTGTCACGGTAAAATTTGACGGAAGTAAAAATTTTTAAATTTAAACACAAAGCTCCGTATACGACGAAAGTTGGATGGACGAGTTCCGCATTAAGGAAACGAAACTCGAAGAACCTTAAAGGAGGTCATAGCATGACTGCAGTGCAATATTCATTTTCAAGGCATCACCGTTCCTTTCGGATTACAGAGGCCCCTCTCTCAAAAGGCATTTTCAATGGTTTCAGCATGTCGTAACACTTCCAGGTAAATTGTGTGCATTCAAAGGCGTGTCAATGCTAAATCCTTTATATGATCGAGCATTTTGTCCGCGTCCCCCTGCAGGACGCCTTCCCTAGAGCTTTATCAAGAGAGTGCGCACACGGCAAGTTTCTCTTTGGCATCCTCATCACGTGTTCAAAAGTGTGATCTTTCGAATGGAGAAAATAGCGATCCCATTGGAGAATGCCTCGAAGTGTTGAATTCCAAACTCTGCCGAATCGTGCAAAAAATCTTTATGCTGCTTTGATCTTAAATCACATTGTTTTGATCAACATTCAATTCTCATAACAACAAGCAAGGGTGGACGGGTATACAGACTTGAAAACAAGTAACTCCGCACAATCGCACAGATTATTACAAGCCTCGCCTGTCCGCTTCTGGTGCCTATTTCCTCGCCCTGACTATCGTCACTTCTGAACGCTACGTAGAAATAAACGCTACTTCTCTATCTTCTCTGATACTTTTATATAAAACGTAAATGAGAACTGAGTGGCATAATCTGAATGAATTTTATCCGCAGTGCCGAAATAAGCAGCTAGTTTGCTTCTGCAGAAAGATGGATCAGCCGGAAAACTGAAACCTAAACTCAAACTCAGCGTTACCTAATAAACAATGCTTCAATTACCAGCGGAAAAAGTAGCTAAAGCGTATCCGATTCGCACTTTCGAACCGTGCTACCGCCTTGTGCCATCGCGAATCTTGCCTTCTATGCTCTACTAAGCAAAACACGAGATCCACATAAATGCATACGAAGACAGGGGCTCAATTCGCCTCCCTTCAGCAATTTAGTATTATCAACGACTGCTTCATACGCTTTGGCAGAATGGTGAAAAAGGTTAAATAAACAAGCATTAAAAACGCGGAATACTATCTGAGTCTCAACTCACGAAAATATTGAATTGGGTTAAAACTGCGTTACCCTATATTGCCTCATGGGTATTTCGAACCTTTGTCGCTTTCATTGATTTAGGTGAAAAAAAACTTTTATCTGTAGTTGTATCGCATGGTTTACATAACAAAAATTTTATTACTAACCTGCTTTCCAGGACTGTCCCGGCCAAGGTATTCCCAAGATGTCAAACGAATTAGAAAACTGACCACATTGGCTGGATCCACTCTGCTTAAAGGATTGTCCAGTGGGGCCGTCACAAGCGCCCTTAATGTAGGAAGAAAAGCTTCCTCAAGAGCTTCCTGGTTCGCCCTAAATTGCCCCAATTACTAATCACACAATTAGCCGCAAACACTTCGGTGATTACACGTACACGTCAGAAATTGCGTACATGGGCAGAAACGCGCCAATGCACCTGCGGACCGCCGGCTCGCCTTTTGAAACGGGATTAAACCACATCAAGATCATTCGTGACACAAGTGCCGGTGAGTAAATAATCCGGTAGATAAGCAGCCGCGAGTAACCCTCGACCAAGAGAGTTTGGAAAACAGAGTTCTGAAAATCATCTCGTATTCAATTAAGCAACTGTTACCTTTCGCCACTGAATAAATCTTAAAAATTGCTACCTCTTTGTCAAGATATGTAGACAACAAATTAATGAAGTTGTCACTTTTTGAATTGTAATCAACGGACGAACTTTCCAGCGCATCTTCAAGCACATCGATGCCATACAATCCTGTCAGGTCAAATAAAGCCTTGATTGCCATGATCTTTGCGCTCTCCACGTCAATTTTCAAAGTCTAGAAAAGCCTTTAGAAGCACTAAAGATGCTAAAAAAGATACTGAAAGTCCCTTTGCTCATAAACAAGTTTTTCTTAAAATTGAAGCAAAATCATTCAGGGAACAGAAACTTTCATTCATGATACACATGTTCAAAAAATGAAACAATACACTAGAAGAAATTACAAAATTCAGCCATGTTTACATCTCCATGTAGATATAAAATCGGTTCGTATAAACTGGCTCGTCGCACATTTGCTCCGGAACAGTACGACTGATTATCAGAACAGTTGTTTTCCATGTTAAGCGCTAAGAGTCCATCTGGCTTAACACTTTTGCCTATGGCATAGCTGGTCAAGAATACGATTATTATAGTAACTATTGTCATTTGAATTGGAAGTTGTAAAAAAGCATCTTCTCGGTTTGTTTAAAGTTCGAGCATAGAAAGAACGATATTCAAGACGCATCATATGCATTTTAAGGAGGTCAAGGTTATCAGGCGATTGGAATAAGGGCGACTTGTGGCCACTGAAATGTCGAATAGCAGTCTGACTTCTTTCGACTTAGTTAAGGCTAAAACGTTCTGCAAGGGTAATCGTCGCCGAACCAGAATTTCAAAACTGTTCTGCAACGAAGAATTAAAGATTATAGTCGACAATGTGCCCAATACTTATTTCTTTTCGACGGTGCAGTCATACACATTTTGTACTGACCAGCACCCATGATATTGGCCAATTTTGTCACGCACAAACCTGATGTAGTCAATAACTTCTAAACATCTCTTACGAGAGGTTTACTCAAACACAGATCAATAGGTAGAATACGGAAAGAAAAGAAAACTGCAACCGCTGATAAACCGGTCTTCCTAATACTTTCATGAAACGGGGCGATTTCTATGGCATCAGACAGGAGTTCCTGATTTTAAATGCAGTGAGAGCAACTACGTGGCAAGCATAACGTAGTATGTAGTCCCCTATTTCATTCCAACACAACATACGAAGGAATAGAAGCGAGACCCGACCGGGTCTCGAATCCTGGAAATCTCAGCTCTGAGTCTGGTCTGACGCTCTAGCGACAGAATAATGTCGATCAATGAGATGCCGTCTTCATTTCGTTAATTTCTTCCAGTCGAAATAGGCCACGACTCAAAACGCGCATTTTCGAGGTACATCAAAGCTTGTTTGGCGAGCTGTAATTTTTAGACAGGACGCCAATGATGCAGTGGTTTATCGGCCAACGTTCGGCGCTAATAATTTGATGCTGAAAAATAACGGCTCAATAATCAGCATAGTGCCTTACGCGTCTCAGGAAATCCATCAAATCGACGTATCCACGGCAGATGCACAAAAGAATGCTATGTCAGTTAAAATCTACTGCCATCACATACATAGCATGTCCCAGATGTTGCGAGACGCTTGTCTTTTTTAAAAGTTTTCATTCAGCGCACGACAGCGCAAGGCAGACGTTTGCCAGCAAGTAATTGGAAAATCTCCCAAACAACGAATTCAACATCGAAGAGGAAAAGAAAAAGAAAGTTAGTCACCGTTTGAGCTTCGGACATCGTTCACTTTCATGACTGGGCCATTTCGACTATTAGCCCTTCTTTTCATGAAGTTGATAGCGAGGTGCTGATCTGGTGGCAAGGAATGCCTTATCTTTAAAATCAGGGTTCACCGCCATATGGCAAGCATAACGCTTAATCTCGCGTTTCGTTTCTATAAAGTGGTAATCATTTATCAACCTTGGAAGGAAGAAGGGAGAGTGACCACCCTCCCTAACCGGCTAGAAATCAGGACCTAACGGTTCTGACTTTGACGCTCTACCGACTGAACAATTCCTGTCTAAAGCAATGTGTGATAAATTCCTTGTTTGGAAGAACAAGGTATTGAACATCCATTGAACATCCTGAGTCGTATACCGGAGTAAGGCAACAATCCCACAAGTTGAACATCAGTCCGATTTAATCTACATAACTACTACACCATCCGGAGGACAGCTTTGACATCAGGAAAATGATAAGTTCTGCATAGCTCGTAGTGGCTGGAAGTCACCATGCCGTCACCATTCGCTTCAAGGAGCCAGAATTTCTGAATGAAAAGGGTGGAAGGCATAGGTAAGTCGCTGAACCTTCCACTAACTGTTCGATGTCATCTAGAACATAAACGAATGATTAAAACTTCCATCGAATTTGGCGAAAATTCTTTCTCTGCATCTTTTCACTAACTACAAATCGTCTTTCCCACCACTATGGATTCAGCATACCATGTTTACAAGCCCTCTTGGTCTCACTATTAATATTTTGTTGGGGAATGACAAAGAGAAAATAGTTCATCAATCAATAACTGTTGAAAGGCCGGCATTACGAAAATCCACACAAAGCTTAGGGACTGTTCCAACTTTTCTATACTACGGAAATATTCCACAAGTAATAGCAGCGATTAAGCACCAGCTATGTAAGTAAAGTTGACTCTGCGAAGTCAAAAGACCAAGCGACCGCAGGCAACCTCGCATCATACGGAAACGGCTGTCTAACCAGCACTGAGCCAGTTTGTTGGGATGAAGAGAGGAAATGACAAAATGGCCAGTCTGTGCTGCTGTAATGAGTGTATATAAAGTTGAGTTACCGATGTTGTTCGTCGCCGCTGTGCACAACTGCTCATAACATAAGCTACACATAACCGTTATGCTTTTCTCCGTCTCTCGCAACCCGAATCCGAATGCAATATTATAGTTATTTATTTAGTACTATAAACGCCAAAATACGTTAATACTATGCAACTGGCTCAAACGTCAACCGATGGCCAAGATCACTGGGACTGTGCCTGATGCACACGTCTGGGGTACATCTGGTCTTAGAGATGTTAACGCCGTGTTATCTTAGCATAAAATATAAATACCCATAAAGCAGCAAAACTTTCATACAAGACACTAAATATTCACTGAGTTAGAGCGAATTGCGGTTTGAACTGCGCATAAAAGCAAATTTTACCTACAACATGCAACACAAAATTACGTACGATTCGCAGCGTTTATATAGTTCATTCAGCATGTGATATATGTAGATTGTTGACATAGTCGGTACCATCTCTAAATTGGAGATAATTTTTTCGTAACTCGTTAAAGGATATCATCAACCGAGTAAATGCTAGTATTTAGGGAACGGTTAATAGAATGTAAGGGATTAAATCAACTTAAATCGATATAACTCAATGTATTTGATAAAAAGTAGTGTGGAAAATCTGAAGGAGAAGGAGAGCCCTTCGTATCGTGCTTTTAGACATCAAATAAAAAGTGCGATTAGATTTTTTGATCATATTATTTATGCTGAAGACAGAGCATAGATGAAAAATTTTTGGATAGTGAATTTTCCAACCTGTAGAAACAGATGAGCGTATTTCGTAGCCAGTTGTTTGTCCATCACACAGTATAAGGAGAGAACTTGAAACGCCAGCACGCGTATCGAAGGACTGTCGTGCTGAATGGCGGGAACAACCTGAAAACTACCTGAACGTCAGAAGCAACTGATGACAGAGGAATCAAAAGCTAACCATCTTGTCAAACAGGTACCGCAACGTCGCGTTTATGCTCTGCACTTGTGACAGTTGCAACACCTCCTTGGTGATTACCAAAAACTTGGTGATGTCTTTTTCATCGAACTAAAACAATCAACAGGTGCCAATACAACAGTGAAGTAGAACAAATGATTATGGCATTATCATACAGTTTACCCTGATTAATTCGAAATTAAATCAACAAACAATCTTATTAAATCTAAATTTACGAAGCAAATAGAATTGCATATAAAGCAGACTGCACTAAATTAAAACGAATTTATTATAATTCATATAGATTATCTTATACAGCCAAATATAAAATTTCATTTCTTTAACAGATAAAACTTCAGCGAGATGAGGCACCGCCCTGGTATAGGGAAGAGGGACTGTCTCTGAGAGGCAATTGTGCCCTGGCTCTGAGCATAATATTTTGAGCGGGCCATGCTATACAGCGTCTACACCTGAAACCCAATTCAGCAAGGATGAAAGGCAACCGGACGTTTTGTCCAAAACACCTGAGATGCGTAGGCAGTAGCCAAAACTACTTGACTAAATCGAGTAACATTGAAGGCACAAACAAAATGACCCTGATCCTCAGCGCACAGTTTGATTCATAGTACAGCGTACTAAATCGCATGACTGACGGATGACAAATGACTTCAACAGTAACGGATTGGTATCGAAAAGGATACACCTGCCCAGTTAAAAAAAAACTAGGTTCAGATGAGACGACGACCTAAAAGAAAGGCCAAGAAGCGTATGGTGATAAATCGCACGAGATACAGGAACGTGGGCATCACGACTAAGCACTCTAGATACCTCCGAATCCAGAAGAAGAATTAATCAAATGTTGCTCTTGTCAAAAGATGTAAGAATATAAATTTGGATATCATTATCATTATCAACTACATAAACAATAATATAAAAGTAATGTCAGAGAAATCATCAAATACAGTAAGACAACAAAATAGGTCATTTGAAACAGTCAATAATTTCGCTTTGTTGAAATTCGTACGGGGCATTTTATGGTCAAATTATTACAAAAGAAACAAATTTAAATACTTATGGCCAATACAAACCTAAAACAAACTTCAAGCAACGCACTTGACATAACGAAAAGTAATCTGAATTATTGAGAAGTCAGTCTGGCTGTTCTTCAGGGACACCGTCCCCCCCCCCCACGCCGCTGCGCGCAGAAGAACGAAGTGTGTTAAAACGCTAACAGCTTGTGTATTTTTGGCTATAATTGCTTTGAGCCTTTTGCATCAGCAGAACATCACTGGGTTTGTGATATAATCTGCATTCGCAGGTTTGCAACACTTGTGCTACAGGGCACAGGATACTGCATAGCAGAAGGAAACATGTCTCCAACAGCAACATATTTCCCTTCACTTTGTTCCTCCCTGTTGTATGTTGCTCTCCTGAACGACATCTGTCGTGCTTCTGTTCCCACGAGAACCTTGCGAACACGAGTATATGGTTTCTGTTGAACCAGCTTATCAAACTGGGATGAATTCATTTCTTTATATCTCTTTTTGTTCTTAACGTCTGGGAAAGAATAAAATCATTTCATACATAGTCATGTCATATGAACCTCACTGCGCTAATTTCTGGCTTCGGGTACAAAAAACTGTTATCAAACATGGACCAACGTTGTGCTGCTAATCTACTATGTAATTATTATTGGAGAAACGCTGCTGCCAGAAATATGAACTACAGTTCTGAAGAAGTTTTCGACGTATTTACAAAACGCTCAATCTTTTATATCACCTTTTTTCCAAAAGATATGCAATGCAATTGTTGCTACTGTTATGGTTTTCACAATCACTGGTCTAATGGACTCAAAAATCTCCGGGATCGGTTCGTCCCAGATCTCCGAATACGGCAACTTCGCGACCAACTGCAACCAGCCTTCTTGTTCTATCGTTGGTACACTGTTAGACCAAGAGGGGGCTTGAACGCTAACTCTGACAGTTCCCACCGAGTCTTAACATTTCCGTCGTTCAAAATCCTTCGATAGAACAGCTCTTTTCATGCCGTACAATAAAACTGAAATAACAGAAAAAAGGCCCAGGCGAATTTTTCACTGAAAAGTAACTTCTTCCTCGGACAAAATATTGGA